ATTGAGGAGCTCTTCACCGAATTAAAAGCCTTTATATGGTGGCGGGTCTATGTTGGGTCTATGAAGATAAACCTGACTTGGTTATGATTCTTTCCTTAAATAGTGCATTAAAATTGGGTGCGAGGAAACAGAGTGCAAAAGGGCATTTCAGAATGCTGGCCTAACAATCAAAGAAATTTAGCATGGGATATGTACTGTGAGTTATGCAGTTACACCCAAATGACTTGTATTAACAAAACTTATCATGACAGTTGAAATTAAGGCTAATCCTAGCTCTGGAGTCCGTCTGCATCTGATGTGGAGTTGGGAAAGGCCAAGTAGGGAACTGCCTTGCGGAGATGGGTTAACGCATCATAGACATATCCTAAATTTTAATCTATGACTCGAGCTAGAGTTGCTTTGCAGCATCTTATTCAATGTGCCACAGATTATCCAGACTATCCATGGAATGTTTTACCTCACTCTGCGTCATTAGAATTGTTTCTTACTTCAATATGCTATAGACTACACCTAGCCAAATTGATATTGCGACACCCAAGGTATCACTTAAATGTTCAGACAGACTTCCAAAGAGAGAATTAGTAACATAGATAAAATCCGAAGGAAATAGCTTCCCCGTCACATTGCCCAAGAAAAAGTGTAGTATCTACAAAACTAACTAAATTGACGAGACCTTCCAGGGAGCAACAATATTTCTTTGGCTTCCAAATTATTAATCTGCTATGGATATTTTCGTTGCTAGATCTAAATGCAGCCTTGTTGAAAGGGCGACCGGCAGTGTAGAATTGTTGACCGGTTTCAGAAAGTAATGAACAAACAGTAACCTTAACTAACGCCCCGTAGCGGTTGCTTTTCTAATTTGTACCTCAGAATTACGTAATGGATAAATCATGGATATTTCGGATCAAGTCCACTTGAAACTCCAGTGGCCTGGAAGAATCCCCTATAACGTATACTGGATAGTTTAGTAAGATCTCTGTGGCTAACTACATCAGATAACAGTCGTCATAGACTGGGAGTTAGCAGTGTTCTAAAACAAAGAGGCAAAATATATAAATCAATAAGAAAAAGAGCTTTATTGAGGATATCCTTTTCTTTAGTTTCACTGAAGTTCACATATCCATCGCGTCGACACTCTTCCAACCAAGTTGAGCTAGATTTGATCTTTTTACATTCCATTCCCATAAATCCAACAAATTTATCTATCGTTATATTTATCTACTAATATATCAAAGCAAGGAGACATTTATCACTATGAAGGTGTTGTTGACGGTTGCAGCGTTTCTATCTACTGGTGTTGTGGCAGTGGGGTTCAGGAATATGGTAGGGGTACAGGTATGAAATTATAAACAACGGAGAAGTATTAATGACACTAATGGATGGGATGTTGATAGAGTGTAAGTTTTGAATCTGATGAACCGCTACTGAAGAGAGATGCCTATAAGACATAGTGCTGACTGAGCTGGGATATGGATAGTGTGTAAGTGGATGATATCTACTGGGGAGAGATAACTATGCAGTAGAGTGCTGATTGAGGTGGGATGTGAATAGCCTGTAAGTAATCATTATCTATGCAGGCGAGATGGCTACAAGGGACATTACTGACTAAGCTGGGATGTGGATAGCCTGTAAGTGGTGAATCTCTGCTGGAGAGAGATAATTATAAGATACAGTGCTGACTGGAATGGGATGTGCATAGAATGTAAGTGATGGATATCTGCTAGAGAGATATCTACAAGATACAGTGCTGACTGAGATGGACTATGGATAGACTGTAAGTAGTTAGTCTCTTCTGAAGAGAGAGGGCTACAAGATACAGTGCTGAATGAGATGGGATAATAGTGGGTAAGTAATGAATCTCTGCTAGAGAGAGATGATTACAAGATACAGTGCAGACTAAGATGGGATGTGGATAGTATGTAAGTCATCAATCTCTACTAGAGAGAGTTAATGATAGTTATGTGACAGTGCTGACTAAGATGGAATGCGGATAGTGTGTAAGTGACGAATATTAACTAGGGGGAAATGATTACAAGATAGTGTGCTGACTAGGATGGAATATGGATAGTGTGTAAGTGATGAATCTCTGTCAGAGATAATTACAAGATAATAGTGCTGACAGAGTGGGATGATAGTATGTAAGTTAGGAGTCCCTACTAGAGACAGCTATCTATGTGATACAGTGCTGACTGTGCTGGATATGGATAGCCTGTAAGTGGTGAATCTCTGCTGGAGAGAGATGATTATAAGATATAGTGCTGACCAGAATGCGACGTGGATAGGATGTAAGTGATGTATCTCTGCCAAAGAGATAAGTACAAGATAAAGGACTGACTGAGATTGGATGTGGATAGCCTGTAAGCAGTGGATCTCTGCTAGAAAGAGATAATTATAAGATACCGTGCTGACCAGAATGGGATGTGGATAGGATGTGAGTGATAGATATCTGCTGGAGAGATATCTACAAGATACAGTGCTGACTTGATGGATTATTGATAGTGTGTAAGTAGCTAATATCTACTAAAGAGAGCTGGCTACAAGATACAGAGCTGACTGGGATGTGTGGATAGGATGTAAGTGATGTATCTCTGCCAAAGAGATAAGTACAAGATAAAGGACTGACTGAGATTGGATATGCATAGCATGTAAGTGATGGATCATGATGGATCTCTTCTGAAGAGATATCTATAAGATACAGTGCTGACTGAGATGGACTATGGATAGCATGTAAGTGATGGATCTCTTCTGGAGAGATATCTATAAGATACAGTGCTGAGTGAGATGGTCTATGGATAGCATGTAAGTGATGAATCTCTGTTGAGATAATTACAAGATAACAGTGCTGATAGAGTGGGATGATAGTGGGTAAGTTAGGAGTCCCTACTAGAGACAGCTATCTATGTGATACTGTGCTGATTGGTGCTGGATATGGATAGTGTGTAAGTGATGAGACAGATAACTACAAGATACAGAGCTGACTGAGATGGACTATGGATAGGGTGTAAGTGATCAATCCCTACTAGAGACAGCTATCTATGTGATACAGTGCTGACTAAGATGGGATATGGATAGTGTGTAAGTGATAAATCTCTGCTGGGGGGAGATAATTAGTTGCAAGATACAGTGCTGACGAAGATGGGACGTGGATAGTATGTAAGTCATCAATCCCTACTAGAGAGAGTTAATGATAAGTTACAGCGCTGACTGAGACGGAATACGGATAGCATGTAAGTCATCAATCCCTTCTAGAGAGAGTTAGTGATAAGTTATAGTGTTGACTGAGATGGTCTATGAATAGGAGGTAAGTGATCAACCTCTATGAAAGAGAGAAAATTATAAGATACAGTGCTGACTAAGATGGGATATGGATAGGCTGTAAGTGATCAGTATCTATCTGAGATGGCTATAAGGGACATTACTAACTAAGATGGGATGTGGATAGCCTGTAAGTAACTAATATCTATTAGTAAGAGATGGATATAAGAGACAGTGCTGACTGAGATGGGATGTGATAGGGTGTAAGTGATTAATATCTACTGAATATAGGTAACTATAAGGTTCAGTGCTGATTGAGATGAATGTGATAGGGAGTAAGTGATTAATATCTACAAAACACAGGTAACTATAAGGTACATTGCTAACTGATATGGGATGTGAATAGGGTGTAAGTCATTGATATTTACTAAAGGCAGATAACTATATAATAGAGTGCTGATTGAGATGCAATGTGGATAGCCGGTAAGCAATCATCATCTATCTGGGCAAGGTGGCTACAAGGACATTACTAACTGAGATGGGACGTGGATAGCCTGTAAGTAACTGATATCTACTGGTGAGAGATGGCTACAAGATGCTGACTGGAATGGGATGTGGATAGCCTGTAAGTAATCAATGTTTGTTGGTGACAGATGGCTGCAAGATCTGGTGCTAACTAAGATGGAATGCAAATAGGGTGTAAGTGATCTATATCTATTGAATGAGGGATAGCTACAGGAGACAGTGCTGACTGAGGTGGGATGTGATCACTAGCTTGTAAGTGATGAATATCTGCTGAAGGGAGTTAATTACAAGATACAGTGCTGACTGAGATGGGGTATGGATAGTGTGTAAGTGATTGATATTTATTGAAAGATATTTGGCTATAAGAGACAGTGCTGACTCACTGGGACGGATGTGTGGATTTTAGTGTGTGAGTCTACTGGATGCGGATAACTATAAGATATGATGGTGACTGGAATCGGATCTTTAGTAAGACCGTTATGCCAGGACCTGGCCACAGAATACTCTCTCAGGGGTACTGGAATGGTGTGAGTATTTAAAAATGGGACTTAATTTCCAACTGATGACTTTTGAAAAACAGGGACTCTACAAGAATATATGCTTTCTTAGCAACTTTCTGGTGTCTTTGCGGAATATGCTTGGTTTTGTTATTGATGACGTTTTTGTCTTTCAGCTGCCTCGGTATGGGTTTTCCCTATTCAGTTAGGTTTTCCCATACTGTTATGCGAATGCAGAGGCTCTCTTATCGCGAATGCCATGTTAGTGGAGTACTACAGAGGTTGTCCAGTACCGAATAGGCTCTTAACTTGAAAGGACCATGAATGCAAATCTCAACTGGCAGGCATCATCGTAGCTGAAAATACTATTGGACAGGTTCGAAAGACTGCTGCAATCTACAGTATCACTGCAAGTGGTAGCCCCTTCTTGTCGCGTCTCCAGTACGGCACCCAGCAACACAAGGCTAGGCATAATGGTAAGCAAGACTAGGAAGGGTCTATACCGTTAGAGCCTCACCTGTTAGATATTAATCCAAGATAGCCCCAGAATGGTGCCGGCCATCCACAGCAACGAACGTGCAAATGTGAGCTGCATTAGGGTTTGGAGATAAGACTTGTGGGAGGCGGAAGCACGTTTCGACCCTCACTATACCTAGGGAAGACAAGAATAATCGAACTGTCGAAGAGGAAGTTATTGATATCTTTTGATTGCTCATTATCGACCTACACTGCGGCGCTAACCGTTCGGTGCATGGGACTCGTCTTTCCCGGACGCAGGTCGATCGTTCGTAGTACCGTGCCAAGTGAAGCCGTCAGGCTGGGCGAGGTGTGGAGGTACTCATCGTAAGCCTGGACGTCAGTTTAGTCATCCACAGAAACAGGGTTGGATACTGTTCTTTGTGTGAGGTATCAAACCCCATGCAACCTCCAGAACATTGTCTCGCACGGCGAAATTGATGAAGCCATCCCAAGCACGCTTGACGGTACTCCGGGCGCTGTGGCCTGCTTGAGTCGTCCATAGAATTTAGTATCTATCGAAGGGCATCCGCTCCTTAGTAAGCTACGTAGGTGTAGCTGATACAGCCTCATTCTGCCCTTCTTCTCCTGCGATCACAACATTTATGTTCGAAATTTCAATTATTTTCGAATTTTATGGCTACGCAAAAGATTTGGATAATGACAGAGTGCAACAATCAAGGTCGAGGCAATAGTTAGCCTCGAACAAGACCATGGTTTATCCCATATCTGCACGAAAAAGAGAGGTGTCTTTCATCATATCTGTTTAGACAGGTTCAAGCATTTTCAATCCTCAGTTAATCTCATTAATAATACCATAAACTTTTAACAGCGTTGCAAAGGTCCCTGTGCCTCTCAGGGTTTACATTAGGTACTGAATATAGCTGACACCCAGCCCTGGGGAAGAAGAATGGCCCACAATCAGCCTTCAGAAATCGGAATGGCAGCTCACAGCACCTCCAGAGTTACACTGTCTTGGCTCTCCTGCGGCCTCGAATCCACCGTTAGACCATCGAATTGCCTGCGCGGTGCTCATACCGGGCATAATCCAACTCGCATTATGTCCCAATCTTGCCATTTCAGCGACTGTGTTCATGTCATATTTATCGGTTTCGTGGCAAAATCCATGTCCGTGTTCAAAGGAACAAATATAGGGATTCAGCTGATCATGCAGACGTGGCTTTCTTAATGCTTCCTCGGCTGATAAACCTTCATCAACAACATGGATGATGTTTTGGATCGTAGCACTAGTAATATGACTTCCTCCTGCAGAGCCAGCAAGAAAAGTAAATTTGTCAGGGCCAGTCACAATCACTGGGGACATAGAAGATTGAGGCCTTTTGCCCGGACATATGAAGTTTTCAGGTGAGGGTATGTAGCCAAATGCATTGGCCTCACCAGGGATAGAGAAGTCTGCGAGATACATGAGCCCCTGCAAACTCAGAGTGATATTGCACTGTTCGTACCGTCCATTGAATCATTCATGATGATACCTGTGTCAGGGTCCATCACATGGCTACCAAAGAAAAGATTTACCGACGTGATAAGTGAGATAGCCAACCCGGTGTTGTCTGCTGTTACCATATGGGATGTACCGCCTCTATTCGTCTGTGAGCAGGATCTGAAGAGCTTGCAATGGAAAAGAAGTCTTACCTTTCCCTTCCAGGATCGCCACCTTGGCCATAATATGATTCCTCGTGTGTGGAATCATCTGTGATATTTCCATGTACCCGATTGATTTCCTCATTGCTCAGCATCTTCTCCTGAAACTCTTCCATCCCTTCATTAAAAGCAGGGTCTCCAAGTTTTCTTCTCTCGAGGCATGTCAGCAAGTATCAAATGGAAGTCCATTATATTAAATCCCACTCACCATAGCGTAACCAAATCTCATGGCCTCGATCATCCGGTGAGTGTCTCGGTGAACATTCGTCAAATTTTTGAAAAGATCACCATATAGGTTCAGAACCTTGAGGACCTTTTGGGCAATCACGCCACTGGATGGTGCCATAGGGCTAACAATAGTGTGGTCGTGGTACCTGTCTATCAATGGTTCACGTTGAACGATCACATAGTTTCGAAGGTCATATTCAGTCATGATCCCGTCATCACTTTGGACAGCCTTGGTAATACTCTTTCCGATTTTCCCCTTGTAAAATTCTTCTACCCCATCCATAGCAATAGTCTGGAGGGTTTCTGCATATTTCTTTCTCTTTACCAAGTCTCCTTCTTTAACTCGTTTCCCTTCTTTCGCGAACGTTTCATTCCATGGGAACTCCAATAAGAAATCCTTACCGTTCCCAACAGCCCGATTCATATATATCTCGAGGTCTTTAGAAACTTCCCATCCTTCCTCAGCCTTCTTGATTGCTGGTTGCACCAGTTGTGACCAGGTGAGCCTGTCACTGCCATACTTTTCTTTAAGATATTGCAATCCTTTGAGCTCTCCAGGCACGCCACTGAGAGTAAGTCAGCATTCTCAGCAAGATAAGCCACGAACTTAAAATACTGTACCTTGCTAGGCCACCGATTTGAGCTGCCCCTCTGTTGAACTTGTACATATCCCTATGCGCCCCAGCTGGAGCCGTCTCGCGAAAGTCGATGGTAGAGTACATAAATCCTTCCGTACCAGGTTTCGGCTCTCGAATCGTCATAAACCCACCTCCTCCAATGCCGCTGTGATACATACCTGTCATTCTTCTTAGCTAGTACGCTCGTAACAGCTGCAGTCAATACTCACCGACAACACCGACACAAAGCACCGTCGCGATCATCTAGAGTACTCACGGTCAATGACAGTATGTCTCTGCAGGATACACCACTACACTTACAGCATCTGCGGCATTGCCACCATTTTGCAATATGTTTTTCCCCTCGTTGCTACACTCTTGACTTTCACTAGCAACTGCGCCACATACAGTATTTCCACTCCTAGCACCATCACAAGTCCGACAGAACCGCTGCTGCCCGGTGTTCAGGAGTTTAGGTGGAAGTACATTGGCTTTGATTGCCTGCGGTATAACGCAAGACCACACAAGTAATCTCACTATGGGTTGCCTCAAGAAGTGCAACATTATGCTTGAATGAAACTTGGCTGATTATGGATTCTAGATGTAAGAGATTAGCAGTTCACATCCATAGGCAAGCAGCTGCCATTTAAGCGCTTTTCACTTTGCCTTTCACTTGGCCAATCTATGTAAACTAATTGTATGCGTCATAGATGATGTTATTCTCTACAAGTAGATATACGCCGGATTAGGTAGCAGATCCCAGATAAGCCGTGCTATGACCATGGGAAACAGGGTCATCTGAAAGCCCCAGTGCTACCCTAATAAGGACAGACATCACTACTGGACAACCTAAGACATTTATCATACTATTCCCAGTGCTTCCGATAGGTGTATTGCAACTTCATACACTGATCTAGACTCCATTCAACTCGAGGAATCATACGCATGCAGTCATGCCCATGCCCACAATTCGAGAAGCAGTGGAAGAAGGAAAAGGAGCAATTATGAAGCCACTGTGAAGTTATTGCGACAGGGACAATCGATCTACTCTTGCGGAGTAGCTCAATAGAAAGTTTAAGCTATGTCATCAAAGATTTCGCGGTATAGGATCTTTTATTTAATCATTTTGATTTCCTGGCTCTATTGGCAGAAAATCAGCTTCTTTAACAAGAATGCATAGTCTTAACTATATAGTCAAGTTTACCTTATCTATGACTGGATCAGTTCTACAGAGTTTGTACTTAAAGAGAAAAATAAGGTATTGTCACTAGCAATAATCATTGTGAAGATATCAGCTAAGTAAGTAATGCCTATACAGTCAATGTACCATCATGGGATTCTGCGACAGCCTTTGGGAAGACGCTAGGTCTGCTGGGAAGTGGGTGGTTGATCATTGTTCCGACTAGGGTTGTTATTTTCGCGGGTTGGGCCGGGTTCTAAATTTCCAGGGCCCTAACCCAGCCCATAAGCCAGTGGGTTCTATACTGCTAAAAAATTCACTCTCCGCCTATCTAATCTAGTTAGTATAGGTACGGTCAGGCACGAAATATTACTATTATTAACTATGGGTAATGTTTAGATTACTAACTATATCTGCCTGGCTGCCTAAGGCTATAATTATTAGTTAGCATAGTATAGTAGCTTTCTCCCCCTCCTTAGTATATATAAAAATTATTAAAAAATTATTATAAATTCTATTACTAGATAGAGTACTATATTCTAATTTAAAAATTAATAAATTTTAATGGTTAAGGGTAGTTAAATTAGATGTTTAGTATAGCTTATGATTATAACTATGACCGCGACCGCGACCGCGATATAACTATAACTATAATATTAAAATATCTAATTTAACTAACTAAATCTAACTAAGGTTAGATTTATAGACTTAGACCTAAATAATTATTAAAAATCATTATAATTATTATTACTGGCTAGAATACTATATTGTAATTAAAAATTAATAGATTTTAATGGTTAAGGGTAGTTAAATTAGATATTTTAATAATAAATTATAATAGTTATGAACTTATGGTCGCGGTCGCGGTTATAGTTATAATTATTAGTATAGATTACTAAAAACATTACCTAATAATACCTAGTCTACTATATATTATATAACTATTTTATAGTAATTCTATTACATTATAAGTTAACTAACCTATTTTTTAATCTAAAACCTGCACAGGTTCTCATTCTCAGAACCCAACCGACCCGCGGGCCCTAGAACCTGAACCCAAACCCAGCCCATGGTAGGTTCAAGCTGGGTTGGGTTCGGGTTCCCGGGTTGGGTTTAACCAGTCTAGTTCCGACATGAGTGATGCTAGAAAGGCTATCGCTAAAGTAGCCGAACCCCCACACCGGCTCAAGAGGCGGACGCGTCTCTCAAGGGTTCTAATGATCCTGCTTTGAGATTGCACAAGAACTATTCTAAAGCATTGTAGGTACTGATAGAGAGAGTCTCTAAAATGATCAAACAATTGCCTCCCTCCTATATCAGGTGATACTTCCACAACTAAGATATATAGCCAATGGCAGCTTACTTGAATAAGGGGGCATACCAGCGTAGGGGAGGAACAAAAACCTATGACGGGCTTACCATTACAGCTGCTAGTAATAGCACCACCTCGTAACGCGATTGATACGCCGTAGGCCCGGATGCATCGACTTGGATATACTGGGTCAGGGTGATCCTCTGGGACAGACTGGGTTCTAGAACGGTCCACATCGCGAACATCTCTTTCCGTGTGAACCAAATTGTTGAAATTATACCATGAAATCGCGCTGGATTTGGCCCAGAATTAGATCAGATTCTCGTAACGCCACTCGTCACTGATTGATACCAATATCATTGGTCTTTGGCCGCGATAGGAGTGATCATATTTACGTACTACCCAGCAAATAGGATGTAGAAGATAAGTTCAAGCAGGAGTTTGAATCCTACCTGTTGTGATATCAAGACACAGAGTACCATATGTCATAGAAGTTTAAAGTAGAAGAATGCCAAGGTTCTCCAAGGTTCTCCGAGGTCAGAGATATAAGGAAGTGTATGCGACGCGTCCTAAATATTCTTTTGTCATTCAAAGTATCACCACCCTGCTTTTTTTCATTCAAATTTTTCCTCCTTCATAATAGCGTCAGATAATCCAGTTACCTTTCAATATTAATCATGCGCCTTATGAAAGCTGTTATATTTGCTATGGCAAAGTATGTCGCTGGTCCTAATCACTACAAAACAAAGATTTCCTTCTGATTATGGAATAGCCTTGCTGTTGTGCAGGGTTGTAAATGCTGGAATTGGAATGAGCCTAGTGTGAATTTACAGCACTCTCGTTTCTGCTGCTATCATGTGGGCGGGATTTGGGATGGCTCTGATGTAAGTATAATCCGACTGTTGCAATTCTTCAATATATGCACATTTAAGCCACCATACAGTACTGATCAATCATTCAATCTCTAGTGCAGGGCGGGCTCCATGTCTGAAGATCTGTTTGGGTATGCAGTTTGTTGTTTTAAGTATCAGACATGCAGTGACTGCAAGCATGGATGTCATTAATATACATTATCTAGGCCTCTGGCTGTGAGGGGTAGTTACTGAAATTCGTAATTTAATATAGTTCTGCTTATATTTATATCCGGAGATTCAATTAACTGATATTCACTGTTTATATCATACAATAATACGACAATTATGGTAAGCTAGTTGGACAAGCCTATATGAAAGCGCTTAAAATAAATTGTAGGTATTGCATCTGGGGCTATGCAAGGATACCGATGATGTTCCCAAGACATTAAGGACGGACACATCTAGAACCCGCAACTCTGGCAGGTTATGAGAGTTTAGCGATGAAATTGCTGGGACACGATTTAGACATATACTCGGAATTCCGTATTTGACAGACGCTGTGTTCAAATCGTGACTCGAGATTTTTAGATTGATTAGAGGCGCAGTGAATTTGACATACTCTGAAGGCAAAAATTTTCTTAGCTATCTTGACTCTTGATCATTCGTAGCAGAAGTAAACAGTGCACATGATCATAGTGTTGCCTCAGGCAGCAAACCCATGGAAACAGAGCAGCCTTCCTCCTTATAATATTTGCTCTATTGAATATTACCTCCTAAAAAGCGAGTCATAATAGTCTCTTTAGTATATATTATCCTCAAGCACTATTTGGAATATCCTCATGATCCGCTCCGAGAGACCGGACATCAGCAAGGCTGCATCTATTTCAGGCAAACTGCACACGTATCAACTAGCACCAAAAACCATTACTAGGACCCAGGTTTACCTCTGCTCTTGAGATGGATTCAACATGCTGTCAACAATGTCTAATTAACTGCCTGTGTAGTCCCAGGTGATAATCACCTGATAACCCATTTTTTGCCGAAAAACTCTGACCGCCTTGCTTTTAATGCCTAAACTGATAAACCCCTCAGATGCCCCACGCGTCGTCTGACCTGGGAGCACACCATGCTAGCTAACTACAAGTTGTTTAGCAAGCATCACACTGGCTCAACAGTTGATAAATCGACATGCCTTCTGCATCTCCATTGGAAGCAACTGCTGTCGTAGCAGCAGCTGAAGTTAGGTCAAAGATTCTGCGAGCATCGCACGACCGTTATCCCTTGTTAGTCATTTCTCTGGAGAGAAAGGGAGATCTCAGACCTGTTGTAGAAGCCTTGTTCACAGTTCATGTCCTTTGCTACATCTGGAATTGTCTGTGAACTAGGAACATTTTAGAGCAAAGATATCCTTCAACGCATCTCTGAAGATACTAGGTAGTCTTTGCTGCAGACCCGTTTCACAATATTGTCGATTATTATCCTATACTATGGACTCAAAGATCCGGTAAAGTTGAACCACCGTTTTCCCGGAAAGGTTTTTGCTGTTCTGTCAGCGCAAATACATGCAATTATTATTATCCATTCTTAATTACCATCTTGTAAGCATTGTAAAAAGCCCTCTCTCTCTCTCATGTTTTGCTTTAGAAAAGATGCTGCGGCCTTTGGATAGTATCCTGATAAGTAATCCCTTCTCATCCATATTGTAGATATTCTGCGGTTCTATAGTGTATTTGTCCATTTTAGCAGCTGTGTAATCAAAGTATAAAGAGTATGTATATGCTAAAGCCGCCTGTTTCTTGATTAATCAATTGCTCCAGTATGTCGGGAGATAAACATCATTTTGATGGCGCTTTACGTAGCGCGCTGGCCACTGTTTTCCTGGCTCTTTGCCACACATTTCTTTAGGAAAATTTTGAAGCATCTCATACGTAGGATACAAGCCTCTCTGCGACTGCTTATTTATATTCTTTATAAGTATTTTGGACTGCGCGTTGTTGAGTATTTGCTAGCTTTCGTCTCTGACATCTTTTGGCACCTGTTTTCCTTGATGGCGCCTTGCAAGCGTAGATTAACAACACCAAGCTGTTTCGCAATTTTAATATATGAAAATAATCCTCCTGGATTCATAAATGATGACTCCTGCGCTTCATCAAGTAGAGCCATATTGACAGAGATATGTGGTGTTGAAGTTGTTGAGTTGAACAGTCGGTGAACCAAA